GAGGACGCTGCGTTTTATAGCCCGGAGACTGCATTATTATTCTCCAGAACGGGGCGGTCCGTTGTTCTCCCGTTGTTTGAGTCATGCGCATGCATCCGATTCAACTCCGATGCAGCTGCTTCTTCAAACGGGCGCCTGATTCAAGATACCTACCTGTGTGTTCGCTGTTCCTGGCCCCTACACGAAAATTAATTTTCGAATCATAAAAAATCTGTTCGTCGACGTGTCTCGAAGACGCTACCTAATTAAACCTTCGTGGTCAAATGTCGCCACAATGGCGACTTCGAGCTTTGATATCTAAAATCAAAAGTTGTAAATGAATAATTTAATTACAGTTTACTACAGTTTAATACAGTTTCTTCTGAACAGATATGTTAAAAGTTCAAGACAGTCACGTCCGCAAGAATTAACAAAAAATTGTCAACCGTTAAGGGTTAATATTAATTTCTTATACATTCCGTGTGACTTGATCACGGATTTTATACGCTTTCTATTTTCTCTGTTGTTTAACGGAATGAGATTTAATGAGATTCCCTTTCTCTTTGAAATACCAGTCAGCACAGTTTGTCACGAAATTGAAATTAATTCCGAATTCAAATGAAGCAATAAACCAGAAATAAACTTCTTAAGCAATTCATTCAGTTTGTAGTCTTCAGAAACTAATTTCTCAAAGCCCTCACTAAACATTATCTTATTTTCCTCTGCAAAAATGTCAACGTGCTTCAAACTGCTTAAGAATCATACCATTCGTTGTCACAAAATTTATATCTATGTTTCCAACTCTTTCCAATACACTGTAAATACTTAAACACTTAAAATTCAATAATAACAATATTACTATCAATAGTCCGAATAAATTCCCCAAAAACAACGTTGCACTGTACATTCTTGATCTTACATAATTTTTCTAATAATATTGGAGCGAAATCTGTGTCATATGAAATTTCACAGGTTAATCCTTCGAGGCACGCAATTTTGAAACAAAAAACTCAACTTATGCAACAATAATATAAGAGTACAAGTAATTTCATTGAAACTATGGAATTTAATTTGAAAATTCTCTGATAATGCTCGCAATCAAATCAAAGAATTAAGTGTATACTCATCAAATGATGGCCAAATGCACATATAACATATTCTAACGAAAAGTTAAAATAAATCGAAGAAGAATTACATGTTTATCTGAAAAAATAGATAATTGATCGTTGAAAGAATTAGTATCATTTTGATTTCAAGATGACATGTGTATTCGTCAAACGCAGTTAACTGGTCAAATTTAGTAAGTCAACTCTTCGCACTCGTATGTCACGCTGGAAGTAATAATACAAATTTGTTAGAGAACGTTGGAAATTCTTTGAAAAAGTATCACACTTTAAAAGATTATAAAAATTAAATCTTATTGTCACAATAATAAATCAAATAAATATAAAACGTTGAATTCTACCGCTGTAAATTACTTTAATTAATTTCTCTAAAAGTAAATACAAGTTTACACCTAACAACATTGAAAATAAATCAAGTGCAAAGGGTTAACTGTCGAAAAAGAAAAATGGGACAAGTTCAAAATCATCTAACCCGAAAGGGTTAAGAATCATCGCACTAATTCGGATAATAGCGTCAGCGCAGACCAACTCCCATCGCCTGGACAATAGAGAAATATCCAATTCTTAGGAAGTCGCCCGCTTTAATAAAGCTATTTCGTCGACCGATCGTAATTCATCGGTTGCACCTGAATGGGCTGCAAAATTGATGAAATCCCGAGGCGTGGGCGTTCCCTGACACGCAAACTTATTCCACTCGCCACCGCCAATTTCTGCGAGGGATTCCACGACCGGCGATAAATTATCCGGCCCCGGAGATCGCCACTTCGCCGATCGCTGGTATGCAAATGAAAATCGGGGGCCGAACCTGCGCCGAGATAAGACGGAAAATAGTCCAAGCCTCATGGTTCCCCGCGAAAACTGGCCGATAAATTAACAATATCGATTTTACGTTTGTCATTGGCGGTTGATGCTTTTTTTTTCTTATCGGCCGCGGTAGCGCGATGTAACATCGTGGACCCGTGGGACGTTACACTGATAAGGATTAAACCTTTTCAAAGGAAAATTCTCGAGGCGATGAAAACTGTTTCTCGGTTGCTATATTTTACTTTTCAGGTTCCTCAGATCTAATATAAAAATTGTATATTGAATTACTGACTTTTGTTTTGAGGTTTTGAATCAAGAGATTTTTGTTTTAATTTTTCATAGTACATTGAACGTTATTTTTTTGTCAAATTATGTGGAAACACAAGATGGTAAGGTATTTTTATTAAAGAGTTTAGAAATGAAGTGAGGGAGTAATGAAGGGCTAAGGAAACTTAATTCATCACTTTCTGACTTGCGAGATTTTTTTTAATTGCTTCATTTATTTTCCACGTTTCTGATGACTTCCAATGAAGATTATTGATGACAATAACTTAAATTGGATCTTTCAGTGTTTTTGATATATCGTGTATTATATTTGAATAATAAAGGATTGAAGCTTGAATAGTATGGTCCGAGGGAAGCTTGTTTATGAAATTCCACAATACAGCGTGAAATTTTAATAATACATGCCAATAAACATTTTAATGAGGCAAGACACGTGCATCGATTGATTTCATCTGAACTGCACATCACTTTTACTTTTACATAATTGATTCGCACGCTAATTAAAATCTTTAGTTGGTGATTATTGATCCCGAACGCAGGCTAGGTTCATTTTAACAATGAATAACGTGGTACATGGAGTTATCAATATATCACGCAACTTTGAAGTATTGTTAGCTACAATGTTATTAGACTGTTATTTTTATAGAAATGAACACGATTTATTTTAATTCCTAAATGTAAATTCCTATACACAGCTACTTATTCAATGATTCGCAATAAAATGAAAGTATATATTCAAATATAATGATATAATTTGAATATATAGAATATAATGATATAAAACATTATATTGCTCGGAAATACCACAGAGATACAAATATGAAAAACCTCTCAGCAAACAAGAATTTTTTATCTCCCGGCATTACACATGGGAGATACAGTATTCAGAAAATATTTCTTGCCGAGAGAAGTAATTAAACTAATTTCTGTGTGGCGTGGAGTTCAAGTTCTTGTAATTATAACTTAATTACGAGTATGGTTGGATTATGATAAAATTATATCTTACAACTACATTTCGTGGCACGAAGTTGAGCAGGCTCTTGAACATATTCCATTACTGACATTTCTAACGTTATTAATTCCTTGGACAAGAGGTAACTAATACAATTATTATCCACAACCCTTAACTTTACGCAATATAAACGTCGAAAATGTTAATATGATTTCGCTCGTGTTTTCAAACGAACCAATAAATTAATATTTCCTTTATACTAAAAATAACTTTATCATTAATAATTCATACAGAAAATTTTCACACTCTATATCTATGTTTCGTCAAAAGCATATAAGAATAATATTTCATTTGGATTCAAAAGAATTAGGCAATATTTATGTTTGTTAAATTCTGTTTGCAATCTTCACCACGAGCCTTACTTGATATTACAAGGCAAGGGGTTAACAATGAATGAAATTCATACACTTGGAGGCCAGTGTGTGACAATATAAGGAAAACAAAAGGACTTCTTACAACCCCACGTTCTACGGAATCGTCTTTCAAAGACAACCACGTATCCTAGAGTACGCTTTTGTCATCGCAGAACAGTAGTACAATGAAGAGATAATAGGGTCGGACTTGCGGTCCGTTTCTCGGTTGATATCATAGCCCGCCGAGTGTGTATTCGGAATTTGTGCACCGACGCTATTGTCTCCTTTGAACGAATAGTTTGTCTAGGCTCAGCTGCAGGCAATTTCGAAATCGGATAATCAGCAGTGTCACGTAACATGATAAACACACGTGTACGATCTCATTAACTAGCCGGGAACCATAACAGAGTTTCGTTTCCGGGAACTTCTAAATCTATTTAAACCGTTTGACCTGATACTATCGTTCCAGTTGTGAATTACCAACTATGGCTCCCTTTGCCCGACTTTCATCTTTTTATAATGGAAATGCAGTATCGATTCTGTACATAATTCCTTTTAGAATCCCATAAATTCGAACGTATCGTGCATCTCTTTTTAGAATAATACAGTGAATAAGAGACGCTTAAAAAGAAGCTGAGTAAAATCGGATGAACAAATATTTTCAGTGATATTTAAAATAATGGATGCTATAAAAAGTCAATAAAATAATCGGATCATTACGAAATTTAGAATGACATGTTTCTTAGAGATAAAAGTAAATTGAGAAAGGAAATGTTACAACACAAGAAAAGATAGTATTTTCCAATATAAACAAATTTTCAGTTTAAGAATATTCTTGGAATAAAATTCTACTTTCTCAATATTATTTCAAATATTTATCTCAATGAATATGTCTTACTACATGCTTTACATACCCATCATTGAAAATAATTCACAAATTATTTCATTCCGTCCATCTTTCACCCAATGATCTTGGAAACCTCTCAGCTAACTTCAACGAAATTCTTAACCGTTTCAGGTGATCTCCGAGTACTGTCGCACCCGTCTGCAATCAAAACCCTTCACCCACATAGTAATGGACATGTACCGGGAGGTGGTGAAGTCCCCGCAATACGCGGCCCGGAAGCGTATAATCTATCAACACTTGAACCCTCCGCCACCACTGCGCAACTCTTCGGAAAGGTCAGATCAGAACCGTCATCAGAACTATCCTCATCACCAGCAGCCACCTCCGCACCACCTCGACCCCCTTCAATTAATCCATAGCCAGGTGACGACTCGTCATCATCAGGACCGGGCTTATCACGCGCCTAATCAGTTCAATCCTCCTCCAAGGCAGTCTCATCCGGATCGAATCCAGCGAACTTCGAGCCAGTTTCAGGTGCTCCAAGACGGTCAACACTCACAGCAGCAGCAACATATATCCAAAGCGCATCACTTCCCGCATCATCATCCAACGAAGGGAGCTCTGTTCAAGCTGCAGTCGCAGAATTCACACTCGCACCCTAATCTGACCAGCTTATGCGGTCAGTCGTCTCAGTCGAATCGTTGCCCGGAAGCTAACTCGAAGGACCACCGGACGCAATTCCAATCGCAGATGAACGTCCAAGCGAGCGGGCACCATGTCGTTACCGGGATTCATCATCAGCGCAAGCACCACCACTCCAGAACGTACTCCCAGCCGATCTACACGAGGCTGCAGCATACGAGGAGCAGTGGCAACCTGCCGACGACCATCGTCTGTGAAAATAATTCCGGCGGGAACGTCTACAGCGACCCTATTTACGCGCAGCCCGTTAAGCCCTTCCTGAGCTCCCAAGACGTCCGGGTAAACGGACTCACCATGAAGCCACCTGTCACTCATAACGAGGATGTTTACGCAGCTACGACGATTGCAAGGTAGTATCCCTTGTCCTTTTGTCGCTCCTTTCGCTTACTGTCCGGGTTGCGAACCCGCTCCCGCGGTAGAAAGTGTTTGAGGTACACTTCTTTCAGAGGATAGCCTAGTTTATAAGAGATATGTGGGAGAAATTCTCCGGGAAGAATGATTAGCGAGGGAAAGTTTATGAGTTTATTAATTATGAAGTAGGAAGGAAAGTTTTGAAATCTATGGCTAAGTGGACTTTAGGGGATTCGTTGATTTAGGAATCTTCTGGCTAAGTGGGGTTAGGGGATACCTTGATTTAGGTATCTCCTAGCTTAAGGAGTTTAGAGTGTGGTATTATTCGTGGCGTTTAGTTAATGATAATTGATGATCCATTGAGGAAATTGCTTTCAGTTTGTGTTATATTCAGAATGAAATTTTGAAGATTGGAAATAAGTTTAAGGAGAATTTTTAGTCAAAGTTATCTGGACTTTGTTGTTGACAATAATTTTTCTGCAAACAAGTTATTGTATATACAAGCTTTTCATAGAATTTTCTTCTTTCGTGTAGTAATGTTATTAAAGGGGACAAATTTTTTACAGGCGACCGTCAGGCGCTGGTTATTCTCATCCAGACATAGCAACGTCGTCGTCGGAACGCGTGCGAGAAGAGGTTTACGGTAAATCAACGGGACGTACGAATCCCTCGTTGCAGAGGCAATGCTCAAATCCTCAGCTGCCCAGCAGGGATCAACAGGAAGAGGATTTCAAGCGACTTCCGGAGCAGAATTTCGTGACGGTTGATCACAGGTATCTGGCGACAAAACGGAAAGAGGAGCAGATAGAGCAACAACAAAATCCAGTGTCTTCCATGAGGGTCAGAAGTGTTCAAGGACCCCCGAAACCGCCGCGTATAATCACCACTTTGAAAAAAGCACCATTCTCCGACGCGGAGAGCAGCAAGTCGGAACCACCTGCCAAACCGCCTAGGTAAATTGATTTTTCTTATGCTTCATTATTATTTCACGAATTCTCATATAAACTTCTCGTGCAGTTTAATTCTTGATGTCTTGAATTTATCCTTTCTTATTAATTTATAACATTAATATTGCATTCATTTTTATTTATCCTTTATTCGAAATACTTTGAAATATAAATGCATACAATAATGTCTCAGATTTAATTTCAACGATGTTTAAAAAAGATAGCAATAAAGAAAAATTCTTGATCAAGACAACTGGTTTAGGTAATTGTTGCTTATTTATTGTTAAACATTGGAATTTCTTGATTACTGATAAGGAGGACTATGTATTAAATTAGTATAGTAAACGAAAGTCAGTAAAATAATTCCTGCAGTCACACGTCCTTATTATTAAGTTTGTCCCGAGTCATGCGACTGCGTTAATATATGCTTTCAAGCGATCTGGGTCGCACATCCGGAACCACCAACCCTCAAAGAGAAAAGTGTACTAAGAGTGTAAGATTGCCAGGCCCAACAATGTAAGGACACAACAGCGTTTTGTTAGGTAGAAGGCGCTTAGCCGCTTCATAGCCAACGTGTTCTCCCTGCCCTCGGATTTTCGTGACGCCATGACGCGAGATTATTCACTCCGTTAAACAGGAGTAGTTCATACGAAACTTTTATGCAAATGATAAATACAATGAAACATGTATTATTCAAATTTTAATTAACATTTCTTGGCTAGGAATTTCACGTGTCTATTACATATATTAACGATAAAATTATTCCTACTTTATGTCATGTAATTTCCATGTTTACAAATTTCTCAAAGAAACCTAAAAAACATTTGTAAAGAGTATTAATATTCTTCCTAGTTTTATGTATTTAAACTATAGAAACTTTAAGTAAACTAGAAACCAGTGACGGCTCGTAGCTAAAATTAGTGGGGGTGCTGCTCCAGAAAATTTTTAGCATTTGTTTTAAAATGTTTGTATCTTTTTCATAAACTGGAAATGGTTACTACCATTAAGCTTAAGGATTATATATTGTACAAGTATAAAGGAAGAATTAAAGAAGAAACTGCTAGAAACGTACTGCTTTATTATCTGAGAAGTTCATATTTGATCAAAAGGTTCAGAATCAGTTACCGGAGCGATACGTCACCTTATCGTACAGCTAGTCTCCAAGAGGAAAGAGTCTCTATAATCTCCTTCCTCTATCGACCCTCCGCCAAGGAATCTGTAGGGATCGATTTTACACTGACATAAGAAAGGGTGGGGGTGGAAGGGAGACTGCTGAGATCCTTTCACTGTTCACTGTGGTTGACCCGGACAGTGTCTTTTTCTTGAACGAAGACCTTCTATTACACCCCACTGTATACTTTCCGATAGTTTGAAGAGCGACGGAGACATTTGGACTTTGAGAACTGGGTTCTGTTAGAAGTTTTAGTGACTTTCTATTGTCGAGTCCCCAACGGCATGTTAGCAGGTAGTTCGAAGATCGTCGAAGACAATTATCCCGCCGCTACTTCGCTTTCGGACGATTTATGGTGGGGCAGACTGCGCGTGACCCAAGTGTTTATAAGAATCGATGACCCAAACGGTGGGAAATAGTTGGTGATTCGGAGTCACTCAACTATCGGATATCGTTGAATTGATTGTTTGGAAAATAACACCAGAGGTTCGTTGAGAAGGAGTTCCTACGTTTCACTGTTTGAATGAATAGAAATATCATTCCCGAAAGCTCTCACCATGGAGTGGGGAAGGAAAAGGATGTCTTTTGGTAAGAGAACTGAGCTGAACCCCTCAACGGTTACCCTTGAACTTTCATTTCACGTGCGTGTGAGAAATCTTTTAAAGGGAACTATATCTTCTAGTTTTTTTTAACAAACAATTAACGTGTTGCGAGAATGAGGATTTTACTTGATGCATGGGTCTGTTTATTTTCGAATTTTGTGCAGTGTTCCAAGACAACATATTCGTGCGTCGTATTTGTTTAAGTTTTGTTTGCTATACAATTGAATTCTACGAATTATGAGATGAACAATCGTGATTGTAAAACGATAAACTTCAAAAGTGCAAGATGAAAAGACAACATAAGATGGGATGTAAGTGAATTAGTTGCGAAAAGAGAGAACAAAAAGAAATTACGTTTCACAAGATTTCTTTTTATTTTCGTTAAATGAACGTACCTGTTAACAATGTTTTCAGAAATCTAATAAAGAATGGACCGAGAGCTCGTCGCGGCAAAGCGGTTCAAAGAGCGCCTTCCCGGCTCTACAGAACAGTAGGCGGACCTATGAGATCGTTCAACAAAGCGCAGTGCATTGGTCCTGAATTTGTGGTGCGTGCCAATCAGCCACCAAAGACGTTGTGTGTCGGACAAGTAAGGGTAATGATACCTTTGGTTTCCTTTCTATGTAATATCTTTCTTTTTATATGTTACATGTATCTTTTACTTTATAAATTTCTTTTACATATTACACAAGAAAATAGAAGTAGACGGTACTAATGAAAATTAATTTAATTATTTATTAATTGCACTTAATAGTGCGTATGAAAAATTTGAGTAGTATTCTCTTTTATATTAAAAAATAAGAAATTTCCGGTACCGGGAATCGAACCCGAGCCTCCTGGGTGAGAGCCAGGTATCCTAGCCACTAGACCATACCGGAGATGTGGTGATATCTTGTTTTATTAGGAATTTCGTTGCCTTTGTTAATAAAAACTGAATTTTAAATGTTATTTAAGAACGTAATATATACATTTAAACTAAAAAGATGACATTAAAATGTCACAACTCTTCCATGTAATTGACCATACGAAACTTGCTCCGAAACAATTTTGGCATTAACATTTTTTTTTGCATATTTAAACAGTTAATCAGCTATTCCACAATTACTACCGTAATCTTATTATAATTTGTAATATTAATTATCAAATGACCATACAAATAACATGAACTAGTCGATAAATAAATTTTATCAAACACTATCAGTGGCAATTCTAAAAAAATTATTTATATTGATTTCTCCACAATAATTTCAAAATAAAAGTTATATATATATATATGGTAATATATAAAGAAATTTATAAACAAAAAGTAATTTCCGGTACCGGGAATCGAACCCGAGCCTCCTGGGTGAAAGCCAGGTATCCTAGCCACTAGACCATACCGGATTGTGGTTTCTACGATTCTTATAGATGTATGTCTAAATACAGCCCTTGCTCCAAAATTTTATATTTATTCCAATTTTATATGTGTTTATTGCAAGCTATATTAACTATCAAAATTTTGATACCCACAAGGGTAAAATAATGTTTCTTTTTAATTAATATCTATTAAGACATTTTTACATATAACAAATGTTTACAATGAATGTGCAAACAACATTAGTAAGTGGCTAAGCATATCACCTTATATAAAATAAAAAAAATATTTTCCGGTACCGGGAATCGAACCCGAGCCTCCTGGGTGAAAGCCAGGTATCCTAGCCACTAGACCATACCGGAGCACAGTTACCACGGATTTTGTAGATTGTACATCACACGGACTTGCTTCAAATAAAATGCTGAGATCCATTGCGGGGGTTGTAATTTTCAGTTGCATTTTGACTTCTGTAAGCTCGACTATCTGTTTTGTGAGAAAATTTTTTACAAAAGATTAGTTTTTTATTTGCCATGAAGGCTTGTTGAGCTTTGTCTATTTGTATTTTTGCGTGTTCATTGGAGTTGAGCATAAAATCTATTTGCAAACCTTGGTAGCGAACTGATAGTTTGTGGGAAATTTTTGGTGTTACTATCTTCGATACTGAAGTATTTGGTATTGATTCTTGTATCGGAGTTGGCGGCGGATTATTTAGAAATGTATGGTCTGAAAAGGATAGTTTCGCGTTTGTTGATGTTTCTGTGTGAGGAAGAGGTCTTGGATTGTATTAAATGTATATTGTAGGGACAATTTGATGTTTGTGGTGTCAGTCCCACTTGTATAAATGAGAAAATCGTCTGCGAAGGCGATGACGTTTATGTTGTGGTTATTGTCGGGGTTAATCATTTTTAAGAAATCACTGGTGAATATGTTAAATAGAATGGGGAAGTTGGTCATGCCTTGTTGAAGACCATTATGTATTGAGAAGGTTTTGGAAGAGGTGTGGTAGCCCTCCTTTGCCAAAATTTTTTGTCGTAGAGCACGCTCCATATTATTTTTATTAGGTTAGGGTGGAATTTCTTTTTGGTGCGCTTTAAGAAAAGCCCACATAGCCATTCCGCGTCGAACGCTTTCCCGAGGTCTACTAGTTTGGCTTCGACACATTCGCCGGCGTTCCTGGCCCAGCAGATGTCTGAGGTAAATTCATTGATGGCGTGCACTGTAAAGTGTTTATACCTGCAGCTGAAATGATTATTTGGAATAATGTAGTTGGTAGTATAAAAGTGATTGATGGCGTTATGTATAATGATTACAAAAACTTAACTAATATTTGTTAGGATGTTTATCGATCAATAGTTGTTTGGGTCTGATCCTGTTTTGTCTTTTTTTTATGGCAACCCCTTTTGCGTTTTTCCATGCAAGTGGGAAGTGTGCCATATTTAGGCAATTGTTGAAAATGATTGTGTATTTAGTGTTGCAGGGAGAAGGGATGGGGGTGTTTCAATACTATCCTGGGTAATATTGTCGTAACTGGAGAATTTTTTGTTGATTAGGTGTTTAAGGATACGACAAATGTGTTATTTTCGATTCTGGTCGTGAGATTGTTATTTCAATTTCTTAGGTGTATATAGTTATTGAGTGTGGTCTATATTTACTGTCATGCTCACTGTTTAGAGATAATGTTATGAGGAGTTTTTTACGTATTTGGTACAAAGTTAATGCACTAACTCATAGCCATGATCATCTAGTTATGTTCTACTCTAGTTATTTTTCTTTACATGTATCTATTTATATTTTTATCCACCTTCGCCATAAAAGCGTATAGATGTACTCACCTCCGGTCAAGCGTTGTAAGACCGGGAGAACATGTTTTGAAAAAATAAACGCCTTTTATCTGTGTTGAAGTCAAGGCGATAGAGGAGTGTGCTAGACTGAAGCGCTGGTTTGGTGGCTGGAGATGTATTCTTAGGGCGTGGGATTGTCTGGGTTTCCGATGGTGGGATTTGCGGGATCTCTTAGATCTCGATACTGTTGTCCATTCCTAAGAGACATTTATAAGCTGCCTGGGGTTAGTGTCTTTGCTTTCGCTGGGAATCTCCATGGGCTCGATGATTTATCAGTAAAGGGGGATGGGCATCCATGTTTTGCCTTCTATGAGCTTGGCTTCTGTTTTGTGAGAACCTGTATGAGTTCAAGCAGGTTCTTATTTTGAAGAGCCAATTCTTCGTAAATTGGTTTATCCTGGGGTTTATCCTTCAATGTTGCTGGCGGGTGTAGATACCCTGCATTTAATGGTCTTAATATTTACCTGAGCTTGTTCTGGGTTGATTCGGGTGAGAGATGCCATTGTTTTTTCTGCTTTCATGCAAGGCGATGCTTCTCCGCATAGGGATCCATCTCTGTCCTGTACACTTTTCTTAAAAATTTCTAGATCGCACTATAATTAACACTGTGTCTTGATTATGACTGGTACCATACTTAATTTCCACGAAAATATTTGGTGATGAGGCCGACAGACTGCTTTTCTGCAACTTTGTTCCGTGACGTGTATTTCGTACTTGGTTTGTCACTTTGGTGTTCTACTTCAAGGTATCTTAGTCACTGAACCATATCGGAGGATTTTTTCTACGGCTTTTATACGTAATACAGTGATGTCCATTAGAATTTCACATATTTCCAACATCCATATATTTAATTTTGTTATTTATGTTAAACGAGTAGAATTAGTTCGATTTATGTCTTGCTTGCGCTCGTTTTGATCAGGAGAATCTCAACTCTTCATTAATGATACAATTATAAAAGTAAGACGAAAATTGCTACAAATGAAATTTTCCGTATAAAATGTTTACTTTTCATAGTTGTAACACCTTATTGACGTGTGCTTGTCTTCTTTCTTTTCATAATAGTGCATTAATTCAACGGAATTTTCTCTGTCCCTCCCTACTGAGACGAAGATTCGTCAAGCTCAAGAATTGAGTGGTGGGAGAAAACTGGGGATCAGTCTTGGAAATTAAATCGTAACGGATTTTAGTGAAATTTAAGCAGGTATCACTGTATATAAATCCCTTGCTACAAAATTCACTTTATTGACTAGTTAACAATTCTTTTCATCATTAATAATTCTTAACAAATACAAAATGTATGTCCTCATTACAAGCTATTTTATTATCAATAGTTATCAAAATCTTGATATTCATAAGGATAAAATTTTATTTCCTTTCAATTAATATTAATTAGGGCATATTTATATTCTTATAATGAACGTATGAGCAACGTTAGTATGTGGCTGATCTATCCTATATGAAATTAAAAAAAAAATTTTCCGGTACCGGGAATCGAACCCGAGCCTCCTGGGTGAAAGCCAGGTATCCTAGCCACTAGACCATACCGGATTACGGGTACCTCACTTTTTACAGGGTACATATCTAGTACACATATCCCAAACAAAACAAAAAATTTCCGATACCGGGAATCGAACCCCAGCCTCCTGGGTGAAAGCCAAGTATCCTAGCCACTTTTTTTTTTAACAGAACGTTTATTGCGTCAATAAATAATATATACATAGAGTACAATAAACCAAAAACGAACAAACGGTATAAGCATGGATTTGGATGTGTACAGTAAGATTATAGGCTCCAACATGGAGCACGTGTAATCTATACAGTAGTTTACAATACAGGGTATTTTATACATGTGTAATGTTTGGGTTTTAGTTGAGAAGGTTCTCTAGTACAATGGTTTTGTAGTATGTACAGAAACGGCACAAAACTGTACAAACGGTGTTGGTTGTTGGGAGGGGGGTTAAAGTATATGTCAGGGTATGAACTAGACCCTAATTATTGCACTTCGTGCCGTCTAAATTTATTGTCAAAGGACCACCCAATTTTACACAGAATGGGGCCGTAATGCTGTGCTTATAGGTTTATACAACTCTGGTGTCGTCCAGCGTGGATCCGTCTTTTTATACACTTTTTGGGATCCACGCTGGAGCAATTGACGATCGAACAGACGACGGACTCTCTCCACGGTCCGCGCTGCTGCGCTAGGCTCGTGGCTGTCCGCGTCGAATGCCACAATCTTTTGTTCTACTATACTTTGTATGAAACTCCAACAGTATATATAATCAACACTTGCAGGATGGGTTTTGTGTACATTGTGACGTAAAAGGTTGGAAGGGAAAATTAAAATTTTTACTCTTTGGGGGGAAGCGAATCCCGGTCTCTCGCGTGATAGGTGGGGATACTGATCTCTATACTACCGATTATCTGGCAAGGGTTAAGTTCTGATAATAAGATAATATAAGATAAGATAATAAGATATCTTTCTGGTATTTATATTATTGTAGTCACCAGTATTTCTTTGTG